GTGCTTCTCACCTCTCTGCAGGCATGGTGCGGAACAACGCGGAGGCGGCGGCGGAGTTCTCGCGCGGCGGCGGCCATGCCGTGCTGCTGCGAGCGATGCAGACTCGCGTCGACAAGCTCCGAGTCAAGGCAGCCTTCCTCCTCGCCTCGCTGTGCGCTGACGACGACGCCGTCAAAGGTACGTGCGAGAGGTCGCGACCCCTGTGAGGTCACGAGCCCGTGAGGTCACACGTAGACGGAAGTCGCCGTCAAATGTACGTGCGAGAGGTTACGACCCCGTGATGTCACGTGAGGTCGCAACCCCGTGATGTCACGTGAGGTCGCGACCCCGTGATGTCACGTGAGGTTGCAACCCCATGATGTCACGTGAGGTTGCAACCCCGTGATGTCACGTGAGGTCGCGACCCCGTGATGTCACGTGAGGTTGCAACCCCGTGAGGTTGCAACCCCGTGATGTCACGTGAGGTCGCATACCCGTGATGTCACGTGAGGTCGCGACCCCGTGATGTCACAGGAGGTCGCTACCCTTGCTTAGATTCCCATGATTGCATGCTAATCTGCCATGGTTGTAGCCGTCGTAGATACCCTGCGAGTCAGGGACCGCTCTCACCTATATCTCTCACTCCCGCAGACACTCTGTGTGACATGGGTATACCCTGCGAATCAGGGACTGCGCTCACCTATATCTCTCACTTCCGCAGACACTCTGTGCGACATGGTATACCCTGCGAGTCAGGGACCGCTCTCACCTATATCTCTCACTTCCGCAGACACTCTGTGTGACATGGGTATACCCTGCGAGTCAGGGACCGCGCTCACCTATATCTCTCACTTCCGCAGACACTCTGTGTGACATGGGTATGCCAGAGCAGCTTGCCGGACTGTTGAGAGCCGAACACGACCCGACGCACGAACACCTCACTAGCGCCCTCTTGGCGCTGGTCACCGACCACGCGCGCGCGGCCGCGGAGTGCCAGAGGGAGGAGCTGGGGCTGCGGAGGCTACTGGAGGCGCGCGTGAAGGAGCTCGCGGGCAGGGAGGAGTGTCAGGTGAGGCGCGGGGGCCAGAGGGATCCCCCGCCAACGAAAAGAAAGCTTTCCGCAATTTTTTAAGTTTTTACGGGCAATCTTTACGAATATGTATATATATATATACATGTATATCAAGAGCGTATTAACATGTATATATAT